GGGCCCCGACTCCTCCGCCTACCGGAGCGGCCGGCCGGCCCGATTAGAGCAGTGATTGTTTTCCCTTGTCTTGCCGGCCGAGAGGTCCCTTGGGTTTCCCAACTCTCTCTCGCCCGGAGGCTCAAGAACAAATTGCATTAGCGGATCGTCTCGGAGGAGCCGCAGCCTCCACCGGAGGAGCCTTGCGCTCTGTTTGTTCTTTTGGTGCAAGTAACTTGACCTAAAGCAAGCTTTGTGAGTGTCTTCAGACCTCCATTACAGCAGCCTCTCAAAATGCCAGGCAGCGGGAGGAAAGACAAATCTTCTCTAAGGTGTTACTCATTTCTTCACACTGATGACATTAACAAATGGGGGGACGACTTTTTTTTTTTTTTAAGCTGTTTTGTCTAAGGGAGTTTTAAATCCGGTGCAGACATTTCTACGTGAGTGGCAACACTTTCAGACAAAAAATAAAACAACGCGGTTGTATATAGCAAGGCAAGATGCAGTAGCAGAGGCGTATATTTCAAATTCTAAGATGTAAAGCATGCAGAGTTTTACCTGTTTAACTTACAAATAAGCTTAGACTTACTTTTCCCTTTTTCAGGGCCGACTACTGGAAGTCACAACCAAAGAAATTCTGTGATTACTGCAAGTGCTGGATAGCAGACAATAGGCCTGTATGGCAGTTCCACTAATAGAGATTCTAATAATGTGTTTATGTGAAGTGTTCCCTTTTTTATCGAAACTTGGAGTTTACAAAACATTTTCATATGCATTGCTCTAGATCAGTGGGTCTCAACCTTCCTAATGCCGCGACCCTTTAATACAGTTCCTCATGTTGTGGTGACCCCCAACCATAAAATTATTTTCGTTGCTACTTTGTAATTGTAATTTTGCTACTGTTATGAATCATAATGAAAATATCTGATATGCAGGATGTATTTTCATTGTTACAAATTGAACATAATTAAAGCATAGTGATTAATCACAAAAGCATATGTGTAATTACATATGTGTTTTCCGATGGTCTTAGGAGACCCCTGTGAAAGGGTCATTCGACCCCAAAGGGGTCGCGACCCACAGGTGGAGAACCGCTGCCCTAGATGTTTCAGAACTTTGAATATTTTTCTATTTTCTTTTTTTGTTGTTAATCCGCATCCGAGGATATTTTTCCTTTGATTTTTATAGAGTGAAAGGGACGGGGAGAGACAGAAACATCCATTGCCCTCCCCCATGCACCCTGGGACTCTTCAGTCCGTAAGCCAGCACTCTATCCACTGAGCCATACTGGCTAGGGCTTCTGTTATCTTTTCATTCTTTGTGTGCCTTCTTCCTTTTCATCGGCCTAAATTTGTATATATATTTATTATATATATTATTATTTCACTAAGCCCAATTATTTCACTATGGCCCTTCAGTCAAATTTAGGAAATTATTTCACTAAGCCCAATTATTTCACAATGGCCCTTCAGTCAAATTTAGGAAATGAACCTTGAGTGTGGCTAATCTCCATGTCTATGAAACATCCAGTTATGATGGTGTTGTTTGTAACACTGTCACATACCAAGGAAAGTAAAAGTGGAAAGCCCTTAATATGTAAGAAGAAACATTGTAGTTTTTCTTGTTTTTTGCTCTAGAGATAATTAAATATATTTGATGCACAGCTTTATGTCTATGAATGCTTAAATTTGAAAAAAACATCATTACCTCTGTCATGGAATATGAAAATGGCAACTCTGTTAAGCAAATTATATTATTGTGTCTCTTAGTCTAGTTTCAGCTTTTAAGACATGAAACAAAAAGCAGCACCATTGTCTTTTTTTTACGCCTCTCATGCTTGTCATAGGACTGTGTACATTAAGCATGTCAAACTCAAAGGCCAACATGGGCCAAATAAGGTTTTAAGTTTATGTGGGCCACAAAAAAACAAAAGCTTCAATTTTCATAGAAATGTAGGTTTATTTCGATAGAGACATGCGGAATACAAAGGGCTGAAATAAATGAGTAATCGTTAACATAAAATAATAGAACATTTTAATAAAAATTAATATTTTTTTCTAGAACATTAACTTACCATACACTGAATAACTGCACAAATTAATAAGTGTAACACAAATAACTATTTTTCTTGTTCTCCAAAAGCGAAATATTTCCTGTTGCACTATTTTTCTTCTCCAAAAGCGAAATATTTCCTGTTGCGCACACCAAACAAGTCAGTCCAAGACTAATGATGTGGCAATAGGCTGCTAAAATATTCGCTGCTAATATTAGTGGAGAGAAATGATGAGCCTGCACATTAAGTGCATAAAGGAAATGAATGCAACACAATTATAGTGATCAGTCATTAGCAAACATCGTAGTTCGTTATTAATTATAGCAGGATATTGTAAAAATTAAGTTACAAAATTTTTATTAAAATGTTTCTTACATACTGTTATATTGACTGGGCCGCAAAAATATTCATTGTGGGCCGAGAGTTTGACATGCTTGATGTACATAGTACCCATAGGCTGGGGCCGTGGTCGGCAAACTGCGGCTTGCAAGCCACATGCGGCTCTTTGGCCCCTTGAGTGTGACTCTTCCACAAAATACCAAGTGCAGGCATGCACGTACAGTGCGATTGAAACTTCGTGGCCCATGAGCAGAAGTTCGTATTTTGTGGAAGAGCCACACTCAAGGGGCCAAAGAGCTGCATGTGGCTCGCGAGCCGCAGTTTGCCAACCACTGGGCTAAGGTATTTTAAAAATATATTGTATATTCAAATTCTTTTTACTTGATAGAGTTGGATGCACAAAAGAATAGTAGCCCTATCTGTAACAATGTTGTATTGTTTAGTAGACATTTATTTACTACTAGAGGCCCAGTGCACGAAATTCGTGCATGGGTAGGGTCCCTAGTGGCTGCCGGCTGCCGGCCAGGACCTCCCTTCCCCTTGCTGCCTGTGACCACCACCACCGCCAGCCGGGGCTTCCCTTCCCGTGATTGGGGAGCCAGCCCTGCCCCCTAGTTGAACTCCCAGTTGCACTCCCGGTCAAGGGGACAGTTTGAATATTAGGCTTTTATTGTATAGGATTGTCTGCAAGAGACAGAAACATCGATGTGTCTACAAGGAGTTTGGGTTTTTCTTTTGGGTTTTGTTTTGTTTTTGGTCTTTTTTAATAGTTGCTAAAGTTCTTAACTGTCTTGTTTGGCTTAGGCCCGTGGTTGGCAAACTGCGGCTCGCGAGCCACATGCGGCTCTTTGGCCCCTTGAGTGTGGCTCTTCTAAGCCTTAGGAGTACCCTAATTAAGTTAATAACAATGTACCTACCTATATAGTTTAAGTTTAAAAAATTTGGATACACACCACTTTAACCTTTACTTAGAAACAAAATTAATTTATTTTTAATGGACCTGTAATAGTCTTTGTGGTGTATAATAAATTTTAGAAAAATTAATATATGAAAAAGAATGAACATTTGCCTTAAAAAGTCACATTTTTAAAGAGGAATTCACAGTACTTTAGAATAGCTCAGGTAATGCGTTGTGTAAGATTTGATTTACAAAACTTATTTTGCAAAGTTTAGCAGATAATTCTTATTGTGTACAACCGTAGGGAGCATTTCTGGCTGTTTTAAATATGTGATAACATTCAATCACCCACCTCCTTCATTCATCCAAGTTACCATCATTCGTCATAGGTTACCACTTTTCATTTTCTTGTCTAGCCTTCTATTGTTTCTATATGTATATAGGTTCTTAATCTAACGTACATAAAAGGTTACATACTATATACACTATATTGTACCATAGTTGTTTTGTTGTTGTTGCTTTTTTAATACATTTCTATTGATTTCAGAGAGGAAGAAAGAGAGAGAGAGAAATAGAAACATCATGATGAGAATCACCAATTGGCTGCCTCCTGCACTCCCCCCACTGGTGGTCGAGTCCGCAACCCAGGCATGAGCCCTTGATTGGAATCGAATTCAGGACCCTTCTATCCGCAGGCTGAAGCTCTATCCACTGAGCCAAACCAGCCAGGGCGTTTTGTTTTACTTTCTAATTGAACAATATATCCTGAAGCTCTCTCCACATTAATTTTTAGGGAGCTCTAATGTAGCAGTTTAGTTTTGATAGATAGTTCCAAATTGTTCTTCATAGGAGTTTCACATTTTGTACCATTACCACATTATATAAGAATATTTGTTTACAATTAAGATAAATTTTTTAATGTCTACTTTTCTCCCAATATGGAAATATGGAGGAATATGGCTCTAAGGATCATTGGTTATTGTCTCTTATCTAATGTGGCAAGTAGAGCAGTGTAAATTCTAGAGACTTACTGGTTTTGACACTAGGTTGAGAGGTGTTTCTTGAATTAAGATTTTTTTCCCACTCTTTTGGCTTCATGTCTTGTTTGAGTCCTCATTACAATCATAGTCACTAGATTAGTCATCAAGTGTACCTTGTATTTTCCTCCATTAATATGGTAATCATGGTTATATTTTATGCACCAAAGGAAATCTAGTCAGAAGGCATAATCTATAATAATAAAAGCGTAATATGCTAATTAGACCAGACAGCCGAACGACCTTCCAGATGAAGCCGCAGGGGCTGAGGCAGAGGCAGTTAGGGGCGATCAGGCAGGCAGGCAAGTGGTTAGGGGTGATCAGGCAGGCAAGCAGGCGAGCGGTTAGGAGCCAGCAGTTCCGGATTGTGAGAGGGATGCCCAAGGGGTCCCAGATTGCGAGAGGGTGCAGGCCAGGCTGAGGGAACCCCCTCCCGTGGATGAATTTTGTGCACCAGGCCTCTAGTAATAAATAGTAGTTAAGTTCTATAGTATCATTTGGTAAAAAGGGCCAATTTGCATTCAAGTTATTTTGTATCTTTTCTACCAGTCATTTTAGTTTTAATTTTGTTATCCTCCATTCCCAAATTTACTGTTACTTTAATGTGAGCATTATGATGTTTATGTAGTATTCCTTTGTATTTTTTTTTTTTTTCATTTTCAAGAGTGTTGAATTTCATGAAAGAGGAAAGAATCATAAAGAAAATGTTGCAAAGAGGATCAGTGAGGTAATTTACTTTGTTTTTGTTTTGTTTTTTTGCCAGTTTTTCTATGTAAATATCAGTCTTTTATTTAGCTTTCACTTTTAAATGTGTCTTACAAAGATTAAACAGAAAAGCCTGGATAAGGCAAAGGAAGAAGAAAAGGCATCAAAGGAGTTTGCTGCAATGGAGGAAGCTGCCCTGAAAGCATACCAAGAGGATTTGAAAAGGCTTGGCTTAGAGTCAGGTAAAAAAAATAGCATGTTTTAAAGTAACACCAGAGGTCATGCTAAGTTAGCTTTTATTATTTCCATAAATAGGTTATACACTCAGAGTATATACTATTAGTGTTTTTCCTATGCATCATAGCCCTGTTTAGATTATTGAAGTTTGCTTATACACTTTTGTGTTGCTTTTAAAGCTTCAGATTTTAACACCTCCATTCACAACAACCATACTACCTGTGTGGTTACCTAGTCCTAGTTATCCTAGGTCAGTGGTTCATTTCAGAGACATTTGAGTTTTCTAGGTATTCTAATTATTTGGCTAAAAGAATTATTTATTAAAAAATAGGTATTGCATTATAACTACAGTTTACTTTATCCATATGGTAAAAACTGAATCGTGTTTATTTATATGGTTGAATTACAGTGAATTAACCTTTTATGGACAAACTAGAGGCCCGGAGCACAAAATTCGTGCACTGTGGGGGTGTCCCTCGCCCAGCCTGTACCCTCTCCAATCTGGGACCCCTCGGGGGATGTCTGACTGCCGATCCCTGTGGAATCGGGCCTAAACCGGTGGTCAGACATCCCTCTCCCAATCCGGGACTGCTGGCTCCTAATCACTTGCCTGCCTGATTGCCCCTAACCGCTTCTGCCTGCCAGCCTGATCACCCCCTAACCCAGTGGTTCTCAACCTTCTGGCCCTTTAAATACAGTTCCTCATGTTGTGACCCAACCATAAAATTACTTTCGTTGCTACTTCATAACTGTAATGTTGCTACTGTTATGAATCGTAATGTAAATATCTGATATGCAGGATGGTCTTAAGCGACCCCTGTGAAAGGGTCGTTCAACCGCCAAAGGGGTCACAACCCACAGGTTGAGAACCGCTGCTAACCACTCCTCTACTAGCCTGATTAACACCTAACTGCTCTCCTGCCAGCCCAATCGCCCCCAGCTACCCTCCCCTGCCGGCATGGTCACCCCCAACTGCCCTCCCCTGCCGGTCTGATTTCACCCCCAACTGCCCTCCCCTGCTGGCCTGATCACTCCCAACTGCCCTCCCCTGCCGGCCTGATCTTGCTCCCAACTGCCCTCCTCTGATGGCCAATTTGGTTCTGATTGGTCGGTTTCTGTGCCAGTCAGCGTCAAAAGCTCCGCCTCCTAGACAGCCATTGGCTCCTCACACTTCACCCTGATTTGGTTCTGATTGGTCGGTTTCTATGCCAGTCAGCGTCTCTGGGCCTATCAACAGGGCCTGATCAGGAAGGCGGGGCTGATCAACAGCCTGGAGAGAAATGGAGGCATGGCTGCTGGAGAGAAAGAGAGAGGCAAATGCTGATCAACAGCTGCCACAGAGGCTACGGATCAGACCTTGCTTCTCAGGCCTCTCTCCGGGCCTGATTCACAGCCCCCTCAGCAGTCAGTGCTGGGTCACCGCACCTGCAGCCACAGCAGTCAGTGGTGGGTCACCATGGCATCCCAGCGCTGACTGTAAGACTGACTTCCAGTTGGTCAGGCCTCCGGTTGTGACGGACCCAGGGTTTTTATATATTAGCATTAACGGATTATTGCTAGAAGGTAGATTACTTTTTTTCTTTTTACTTTTTCATTGAGTATATTTGACAAACATTGTATAAATTTAAGGTGTACAATGTGTTACTGTGATACTAATCCTATATAATAAAAGGCTAATATGCAAATTGTCCCCTCGGGAGTTCAACCAACCGGGAGTTTGACCACTCGCTATGATGTGCGCTGACCACCAGGGGGCAGCGCCGAACGAAGGAAGGCCCCGGCTGGCAGCCAGAGGAAGGAAGACACCGGCTGGCAGTTGGGGAAAGGAAGGAAGGCCCTGATCAGCCCTGATGGCCGGCCAGGCCTAGGGACCCTACCCATGCACAAATTTTGTGCACCGGGCCTCTAGTACAGTGATGGCAAACCTATGACACACGTGTCAGAGGTTACACGCGAACTCATTTTTTTGGTTGATTTTTCTTTGTTAAATGGCATTTAAATATATATAAAATAAATATCAAAAATATAAGTCTTTGTTTTACTGTGGTTGCAAATATCAAAAAATTTCTATATGTGACACGGCACCAGAGTTAAGTTAGGGTTTTTCAAAATGCTGACACGCCGAGCTCAAAAGGTTCACCATCACTGCTCTAGTATATCATAGTCCCACTAGAGGCCCGGTGCACGAATTCATGCACAGTGGGGTCCAGCTGGCCACACTCCCAGTCGGGGTTGCGGGGGCTGATCGAGGCCGGATGGGTCAGGGGGAGGGGCACAGGAAGTTGGCTGGCCAGCCCCGCCCCTAATGGGGGGGCTGGGCATGGGAGGGGCCACAGGCACTTAGCAGGGCCTGATCGGGGAATGGGCCGCAGTCTGTTGGCCAGCCAGCCCCAATCCCTGGTCAAACTCCCAGTCGAGGGGACAATTTGCATATAAGCCTTTTATTATATAGAGTGCCATTGTAGTGATATTTATCGCATTACTTAATTATAGTAGAATATTTTTACCTATATTCATTACTCTATGCCGGCAATTTTCAACTGTTTTTATCTCACAGCACACATAAACTAATTACTAAAATACTGCAGCACACCAAAAATATATTCTATTATTTTGTCAACCTGACAAAAACCATAGGTATAATTTTGATTCATTTACACCAGACAGTTACTATGTTGGCTGTTGTCATTTTTTATTTGGCACTCTAAGGGCAAAGAGGTCAGGTTTTGCATGTTTTAAAAATTCTTTGGGCACACAGGTTGAAAATGACTGCTCTATGCATTGCAGCCGTCGCCAACCGGTGGTCCGCGGACCACTGGTGGTCTGTGAAGTCAGAAAGGTTGGTGACCTCTGCATTAGAGCTCTGTGGATTATTTACTACTCATTGCAAGTTTGTATCCTTAAACAGCAGCAGTCTTACTCTCCCACCCCCCCATTTCCTGGTAACCACCATTTTACTCTGTTTTTTATAAGTTTGACTATTTATTTATTCTGTTGTTTATTTATTCCGCTGCTGTAACCAGAGAGCCACACCAACAAGGGCTAAATTTGACTTTTTTAAGATTCCACAAAGGAGATAGACAGAACTTGTCTTTCTCTTTCTGACTTATCTCACTTAACACAGTGTGCTGAGGGTCCATTCATGTTGTCACAAATTGCAGATTATCCTCCTTTTCCATGGTTGAATACTATTCCATACTAGATGTTTTTTAATCCATTCATCTGTTGATGGGCATTTAGGTTTCCACATTTTGGTTATTGTGAATAATACTGCAATAAACGCAGGAGTGCATATATCTCTTGGAGATCCTGTTTTTATTTCCTTTGGGTGTATACCCAGAAGTGGAATTACTGGAATCTATGATAAATCTATTTTTAATTTTTTTGAAGAACTTCCATATTGTTTTCCATAGTGATTAGACCAATTTTCAGTCACACCAAGAGTGTATAAGGGTTTCCTTTTCATCACATCTTTGCCAGCAACAAAGTAAATAATTTGAGGGTTTGAAGATACTCAGTTCCAGATAAAAAGCATTTATCTAGCCCGGCCAGCGTGGCTCGGGTTGAGCATTGACCTATGAACCAGGAAATCACAGTTTGATTCCGGTCGGCGTAGATGCCTAGGTTGGGGGCTTGGTCCCCAGTAGGGGGCACATAGGAAGCAGCTAATCAATGATTTTCTGTCATTGATGTTTCTGTCTCCCTCTCCCTTCCTCTCTAAAATCAATAAAAAAATACAAAAAATATTTTTTTAAAGCATTCATCTATCTTGTTATTAAATTTAGGCTTTAAGTGGGGAACTTTTTTTCCATGACATATCCATTGTCCTTAAACCAGGCATATTGCAGTCACAGTTGTTGATCTTACATAATGGTGTGGTCGTCAGCATGGATTGGTATTTTTACTCTAATAAAAACTGCTTTCAGTTAAGTTTTTAAACAGAATAGCAGTTAATTGACATTGCCCTCATCAAATAAAAACAGTTATAACCAGACTTTAAAAATATTATCCTGGATATTGCTAGTTAAAATGGGGAAAACATTATTTTACAAAGATAAAGCTACATATTTATAAGATGTATAAGGTGTTTATAAGGGAGAAAAGATGTTGGCATCGGGAAGGCCAGGGAGGGCTGGGGGGTTAAAAGATCAACCGAAGGACTTGTATCCATGCATATAAGCATAACCATTGGACACAAGTCCCTGTCGGGTAGGGGAGGCTGGGGGAAGGTCAAGGGGGAAAAAAAAAATAGGAGACATATGTACTACTCTTTGTAATATTTTAAGCAATAAAACAAAATTTAAAAAAGAAGATGTTGGCATTCCTACAGAATTAAAGAGTAGTAGTCATCTCATCAAATATATGCCTTGGGAGAATTCATAATTTTTGTAGCATTTTCCTGAATGAGATATATATTCCTTTATTAAAAGTACAACAATTCAGTATAAAGAATTTTTAAAATAAAGTTATACATTTTATGTTATGGTCTATTTGGAGATTGTCTTACTTTTTCTTACATTATGTCAAGTACATCTTTTCTTTTGAATAACTAAGGATATACAGAGTGGTTAGGAGCACAGGTTTCAAGTCAACCAGAATTATCTCTTGTTAGCTATACAACCTTCAGTTTTTATTACAATTAAGTAATAAGCCCTAACCGGTTTGGCTCAGTGGATAGAGCATCGGCCTGCGGACTGAAGGGTCCCAGGTTCGATTCCAGTCAAGGGCATGTACCTTGGTTGCAGGCACATCCCCAGTAGTGGGTGTGCAGGAGGCAGCTCATCGATGTTTCTCACTCTCTATGCCTCTCCCTTCCTCTCTGTAAAAAATCAATAAAATATATTTTAAAAAATAAAATAATAAAATAAAATTAAGTAATAAAGTAATATAATAGTATAAATTGCTTATTACAAGCGTGATACTTGTAACAATGTTTAATAAAGGATATAAAATGCCATAAAAATGCCAACATTTATTTCATTTCTTCCTGGTTGACATTTAGGTTGCTTAGAGTTTTTCATTGTTAGAATGCTTCAGTGAGCATCCTTATGTGTGAGTGTTTTTGCATTTATCCCTATAAGTTTACTTTCTAGAAGTAAGATTGCCAAAATCAAGCCTGAATATATTTTGTAGATTGATAGTTAATACTCCAGCAATGTCTCCAAGATTAATACTTTTGCTAGAAATAAAGTTAATTTATTAATTGATGTTGGGAATGACTGGCTAATCTTTAGAAAAAAGTAAAACCATAAAAACTGCCTGTTTTTTCATACTCATAGATTAGACAGACCAACACTGGATTCAGTCATTTTTTTCAGTACTTATTGATCTAATACTAAAAAAATTACATTTCTTTGAATATTAGTGAAGGTAAATGTTAATTTTCTGAATTACCTCTGTACTTTTTGCCCATTTTTCGGTTACAGTATTGGATTTGTTAGGGATTTTTGTTAGGAACATTAATCCTCTGTCATATTTGTTATAAATATTTGTCATTTGTGTTTCCTGTGTATATGTGTGGGTTTTTTTTGCCATATGCAATAATTCTAATTTGTATGTAGTTAAATTTAACATTATTTTACTTTGTGGGGTTTTTTTAAATATATTTTTATTGATTTCAGAGAGGAAGGGAGAGAGAGAAAGAAACATCAATGATGAGAGAGAATCATTGATTGGCTGCCTCCTGAACGCCCCCTGCTGGGGATCAAGCCCACAACACGGGCATGTGCCCTTGACTGGAATCAAACCTGGGACCCTTCAGTCCGCAGGCTACTCTCTATCCACTGAGCCAAACCAGCTAGGGCAGGGTTTTTTGTTTTTGTTTTTGTTTTGTTTTTAGTATCTTTCATATGAAATTTATATTGATATAAAAACATGAGAGATACTGAGGAGAGGTGAACAGCTTAACTTTTTTCCAAATAATTAGCCAGTCAGTCCAACATCATTTATTAAATGATCTCTCTTCCCCTATAATAGGAAACACCAGGAATCTGCAGTTGGATCTATTTCTGTACTGTTCTGTTTCAGTCATTTATTTCCCTATTCCTGGATCAGTTGTATACTGTCTTTTTTTTTTTTTTTAATATATTTTATTGATTTTTTACAGAGAGGAAGGGAGAGAGATAGAG